ATTAGTTCAAGTATATATATAATGTAAACACATACATACTCATAAATGAATAAATCACATAATAAATTTAGTTAATTTAGTTAACTATAATTTTTATATACTTTCTATAAAAATACAAAAGTATTTTAACTTAAGTTATAAAATGCAAAGTAAAAGATTTGTACATGAAAGTAGTTACATGGTTTGCACCCATAATTTAAATATGTTTTTTTAGAAACACATCAACATATGTAAAAATATATAGGTAATTCGTTTTCTCCAAATTCATTGGATAAATTAAATATTAATGAATTTGATCAATTTCGGGTCTAATCGGGTTCGGGTCTAATCGGTTCCGGGTTTAACCGGGTTCGGGTTTAATTGGTTCGGGTTAAATCGGATTCGGGTCTGAATCGGGTCTGAATACATTCGGTTCGGGTTCGGGTTCGGTTCGGATCATTTCGGGTGTTCAGTTCTATTTCGGTTCTTCAGTTTTCGGGTCAAATCGGGTTCTGTTCCGGGTTATTCGGTTCGGGTTATCGGGTCCGGGTCAGTTTTGCCAGGTCTAGATGAGATCAGAGTGAAAGTATGCATTGATTTGTGAATTAGTTGAAAGCTATATTTGACTTTACTCAATTTTTGTTGGGAGAACTCCCTAGACAAGAATAAAAAACTATGAAAATATTAAAACAGGAGTTATAAGTCTTTTAAGAACTAAATAAGAGTTTACAGTGTCATTGTTACACTGCCACACTCACCACACTGCAACTGCCACACTATCAATGCCACAATGTCATTCGTCGTTGTCGGCCATCTGACGCCGCCAATCGCTGACATTGACCGGTGGTCTGCCGGTGGTTGATTGATCATAGTGTCATATTACATTTTCATCACTTGTTTATCACATTGCCAACACTCTTACATTACACTGTCATTATACTCCTAGTTTGTTCTTAAAAGAGTTAAGGCTCCTATTTTAAAATTTTTATACTTTTTTACTCATATTCAAGAAGACTTCTTAAATTTGTTTACCTAAATAGAAAGTGATCAACCATTTTAGGGACAATACAAAAAGGAATGCTTGACAAATATTTTGGGATGAAAAGAGTAATAAATTTAATTTTCTAACTATATTGGGGCCTTATTAAAAAATCAAAAAACGCAAGATATACGCAGTTTTATCTCAGTAAATACGAAGAGTTATTTTCAGTATACTCAAAGTGCAAAGAGGTTTTCATTAAACTTTATTAAAAGTGAAACGAACAAAAATATTTGAATGTTTCATTTTGATTTAGGTTAATATTATCATGAAGCTAAAAATTGTTAAAATGACTCTTTTAATTTTAGGGTTAAATATGTTTTTAGTCCATGTAAAATACGCAAGTTTTGTTTTTGGTTCTTGTAAAATAATTTTTGTTTAAGTCATCTTTTCAAAAATATATATTTTGAAAATGGTTCTTATACGTAATTAAAACTTTTAATTTGTTAACATAATACATTATTCAATACTGAGAATGTAATATGAATAAATACACAAATTAGGGTTTGAAATTTTGTCAGCATAATTAGGAATTAAGACTAAGATTTTGAGTATGAAACAAATGTGTCATCTCTCCAAATTAGAAGTGCTTAATACATTTAAAGACTATTTTCAAAATAAAATTATTTGTAAGGATGAGTTTAACAAAAAAATATTTTACAAGGACCAAAAACAAAACTCGCATATTTTACAGGGACTAAAAATATATTTAACTCTTAATTTAAAATTAACAATTTGATGGCCTAGAGATGAAAAAACGATGCCAACGACATGGTATTTTCTTAAATAGGGAGCGAAATTATTCAAAAGAGTGGAGAAGCTAGGAACCAAAATTTTTAGATGTCCTAAATAAGAACAAAATTGTGGAGGAATGGAAGTAATTAATATCATTGAATATTTCCTTGATGAGGAAAATACCCAAATAGCACTAAAAGAAGTTGTGTTTCCCCAAATAGCACCAGTGCTATTACCCTTCACGTTTTGTGGTGGAATGGACAATAATGCCCATTAAATGCATTTGTTTAATTAAAAAACATTAAAACACATAAAAGGAAGGAAACGGCTTTACGGCGCTAGTTTTACGGGAGAATCCAACCGGCAGAGGAAAGTAACCACTTCCGTATTGCATGGAGATTTGATTTCCATTAAGAATTTGAGTTTTAGAATGACACGAAGGTCATTAGGTTTGTGAAATTGGTTTCCTCCTCGCGAACGAAGAGAACTGAAAAGAAGTTTGCGGCCATGGCAGGGAGTTCGGTGAAAGGCAGGGGATGCGACGAAGAAGATAATGACTTTGTGAGTGACCCTCCACTGGAATTTAACAGAAGAATGTTGGTGAGGTCGATGAATGGAACTGTAAGGCATTCGAATCTTAATTTTTTTTGGTTGGTCATTTGGGCAATTAGTTATTGGTGTGTTGGAATGGGCGTTAATGACCGTAATTTGGTTGGTCATTGAAGTGAATGGAATTGAATATTGGGTCATTAAGCAAAGTATCAGTTTGGTATCTTTACAAGTAATTTTTTTTTGAATTTGGGTTGTGTTAAAGGAATTGTTGGTATGGGTGCGTAGGCTAGGTGTTTGATTAATGTCTTCTGTGGACATTGTGCAAGACATTGCAATTGTGATGTTATTTCAGACACAGTGGGATTAGTTTTTAATAAAGTGGGAATGAAAAGTTATGCACATAGTCATTGTCTTGTGTGCAATTGTTAATGATATCAGGTTATGTATGTATTTGGAGAAGAATTCAGTTTATTTTATTCCTGTTAATATTTGGACAAAACGCAGGGCATTCATGTGTATTTTTATGGCTGTCTTATGATTAGGTCGTTAAGAATTGAATTCACTGGTGGTTGGAATGATACCTGAGGACGAAAATGTATTAACTTAGTCATTGTCTCATGCGCATTTGTTAATGACCTGGGTTTATGTGTGTATTGCAGAAGAATTCTGATTTATTTTATTTGTAGTTTATGCCAATGAGAAATAAAACTTATTTGTGTTTCCTGAATATGTTTGATTTATAGAGAAAAGTCATTGAGTTAGTTGTGTTCATTACAGGTTTATAGTGGTATGAAGTGGGAGGGGAAAGGATTTTATACTTTGCTGTGTGATTTGTTTTTTTGAAAACAAAATGTGTGTGTTACAGATGTATGTAAGAGTTTGTCCAGAGGGTCTGCTTGTTGGGACTAGTGGAGTGAAAGTCAATCTCTAGTGTAATCTAGCTGCTGGAATCACGTCTCTTAAAGGAAATTTAAATGATAAGGAAAAGGCATTGTTTAGGACAACAGCTTTTGGACATTTTCTAGAAATGGGAGAGATAAAGTGGGTTAGTGGGAAATTGTTGACTCTTTTAGTTCTAAACTATGTAGAGCTAACAAATAAAGGAGGTGTTAGTGACTATATTGCATTCCACATCGGTGATAGGGTTTTAAAGATGTATAAGAGAGATTTTGCGCTAATTACTGGCCTAAAGTTTGGTGTTGAACCAGAAGAAGATTTTTCTAAAATTTTTGATGATAATGAAATCAGTAAAAAGTACTTTAAGGGCAACATGATTATAACCCGAGATGAGCTTGAGGCAGCTTTTATGAAAATGGGTAAGAAAAAAAAGGGATTTGGAGCATGCAGTTAAGTTGGGCCTTCTTCATGTTCTAGGGAATCATATGGCAGGAAACCAGGGGGGTTCCAAATTGCCTCCGTTGTACATGTATCTAGTTGATAACCTGACACGGTTCAATGAGTTTCCTTGGGGTGAGCATTTATGGAATGACTTGGTAGAAAGTGTGTCGAAAGGTTCAGTGATACTCAAGACTAGTGAAATAAATAGATTCACTTTTCCTGGATTTTTATTTCCCTTACAAATCTGGGCGTTTGAAACTTTCGTGGATATAGAGGGAAAAGGTTTTTGCAACAGGAGGGAAAGTAGTGACATAATTTGGCCAAGGGCACTTCGGTGGGAGACTGGATCCCGAGCTCGACACGTGTTGTTAGAAAGTGCTATTTTTGGTGGAGAACAGGTAGTATAGAGTTTTTTTCCCTGTTTTCCGGTTATTTTTACAAATTGTGCCTAATGATTTTATACTGCAGGTGAATTGGAAGTGTATGATCCCGGAGAAGGCTGAATTGAGGGGCAATGACTTTAGGAAATATTTCAAGAATGTAACCCTGCTGAAGGTGTTGATGGTGAGCTTTGTGATGCCAATTTTGGGGCAGGCTGCAACAAGATGAAGGGCAAGCTGCATTGGGGTCCAGAAACTGGTGATGGAAATGAGATGGAAAATACGAAGGAGAAAAAGTCGAAGCTGAAGCTGCCAAAAAAAGATGCGAGGGCGGGATGTAATGAACATCAGAGAAATGAAGAAGTGGTTCGGAAAGCAAAGCAAAAGACAGTTCATGACACCGGGAAACAGGAAAGAATGGATGGATTGGATGAGATGCTAAGAGAGGTCTTGAAGGGAATATCAAGAATAGAGAAAAGTAATAAAATTTTGAGTAAAAAGATAGATGCAATGAGTAATGATTTTAAAGAGAATCGGCGAAGTGTAGAAGCATGCTTGGAAAGGGCTGGTTTACTTTCGGGTGAGAAGGGAAGAAAAGAACAGAGAGCACGGGATCAGTCAATTCCTAGTTTTGATTTAGGTCTGGATTCTGATAAAAAAAATGAAGTTGGGGAATGCAGTGGGGATGTAGAAGTGAATGAGGGAAAGGGAGAAGAGTATGGTGTGGTTGCAGAGTTAGATGTAGAGGATTATAACCCCCACATATCACTGAACACCATGAATCACTGGAGGAAAGTTGTGCTACAAATGAAAGACAGGGGGGATAAGGCTTTGGGAAAGGCACATGAGGGGTCTGAGAGAGCAGCAGACCCATCAGAACTCCAAATCGATGTTGAAAAGGAAAATGCTGATGTGATTGAAACGGTTATTAAGTCTTTATCGTATATAAACTGCTTTTACTGCACATTTAATTTTATTTTTCTATGGGCATGTGTATGCAGATTGATTGTGGCCCGAATAACAGCATTACAAAGGATGCTGGGTTTAAGGACACTTTTGAGACCCCGACCCGGTTTTGTGAGGTTTGTTAATGATTTATGGACGTTAAGTTGAACTGAGCGTCAGTATGTAAAGAATAGTTACATTCTTGGGTTAGAAAAAGCATGGGTCTATACCCTGACATTTTTGTAGGACGTTAAGCTGAACTTAACATCAGTATGTAAACAATATTAACAGGATTGAGTTTATATTGACATTATGCACTGCATGTATTGAAATTTAGGTCAGTTCAGGAGAGTAAGCAAATGGTCATTATGGCATTAATAAAGGCACATCTATACCTAAATATTTAAAAAGTATGTTAAATTAAGAAGTCATTACATAAATGGGATGCTCAGTATGAGTGTATGTGGAATGCCATAAAGTACATGTGAGAAATGCAAGGTCATTATGCACTATAATGATTGAAAGGTTGACTGCAACACGTGCATGACCTGAAAGAGTTAGTAAGTTTTCATCGTATATGAGCTGCTTTTATTGCACGTTTATTTCTGTTTTCCTATGCGCATGTGTATGCAGGTTGCTGGTGCCCCAAATAACGAAGCTACAGAGGTTGCCGGGTTTAACGACACTTTTGAGAACCCAACACATATGTGGGAGGTTTGTTGATGATTTATGACAGGCTTGTTTTTCGTGATTATTTTTTTCGTGATTATTGTAGGCTTTGATGAAGAATGCTTATAATGGACATTGGTTTACGAAGGCTTCGGAGGATGAGCCACCGGAGAATTTGGTTCATTCGTTGGATTTCGATATTATAAGTGTTGAGCATCCCAGACCATCAATAGTATGTGGTTTCTTTGAGTGTAACATTGACATTTAAGATGAGAGTTGTATGCATCTTAATACATTAATGAAGGATGTATATATCTTATGAGGTGTTTTTTTATGAAATGAAGGATGTACCCTCAAAAGAGTTGCAAGACTTGATAAAAAGCAGTGGAGGATGTGGTGAACAGTTCAGATGATGGCGAGGATGTGAATAAAGTTGGCAATGAGGATGAGCAATGTACACAAATGGTGGTAAGTATGTTGACGTTTCTGCAGTTTAGGTTGAGTAGATTATGTGCTGGACGTATATGGTCATTACATTTGCAATTTTAAAGGCATGCCTTAAACTCAAAAATTGTAAATGCAATAACTACGAAACACAGGTTTACAACCCAAACAACGATGTAGCTGCACTTATGGATGATGGTGAAGAAACGAACAGGCCAAGGAGAGAATCTAAAGCTCCAAAAAGATTCACTCCCAGAAAAAAGGGAATTGGAAGGGTGAATAAAAGGCCGAAGACAGACACGTGTATGTACAGGGTGGACAGATTGGAAGAAGAAATGTTCAAAGGACCATTCACTGAGGATCCTGATGAAATGCCACCAAAAGAAGCAGTGAAGACAGTGGAGGACATTTTGTGTGATGGGCTGTTGAGGAATCACATAAGAGAGCGCGTTAGGAAGTATTATGCTGGGAGGGATAAGATGGATCCACTGAAGTTTAAGCCACTATATGGGTTGGAGGCGACATTGAGTAAGAGTTGGTATTACAAGCTCTTTTTTTCATGGGCATGGTTAGATGATGAGGTATTATTAGATAAATTGTAATGTTTTCCGACACAGGAATATTAGGATGCAAATGACTAACATCTCATAATGGAATTGGACTTTGTAAAAAACAGCATATGCAAGTGGTATTCTACTACTTGAGGATGAAGGGGATCGAGTTTGGGTTTCAACAGAAGTATACCACAACAGACCCGTCCTTTCTTACGCTGTTGAACTCGTTGTATCAGCGGTACCTTAAACAGGAGTTAACAATTAAAGACGCAGCAAGGAATGGCAACATGATGGGTACCATAGTTGGCGGGAAGCTGGAATTTGGACGTCCGTGGGCGGAAACAGAGTTTGTATACATGCCGTTAGGCACAGACGGACATTGGACACTGTTGGTCCTCAGTATTAGAGAGAAAATGATACGAGTTTATGACTCCAAGGTTAGGAGGGGTCAATCTTTGAGAAATATCCACACCCATCTTCCGTGCCTTCAAACGTTCCTACCAAAGATAATGGACCGACTTGGAGTTTATGGAGATAAGAATGAAGCAGAATTGGGCGACACAGCGTTGCGTGTGGAGGGGGTTCCAAACTGTCCTCAACAAGTGGATGGGTAAGACATCGCATTAAAGAATTTGATACATACTTTGGATCTATGGAATAGGTGTAATGAGAGTGTTTATCTTTTTTTTGCTTTACAGGTCAAGCTGTGGAATATTCGTAGTAAAATTCGCAGAATACCTGATGATGGGCAAGGATGTGGGGGGCATTAATGCTGTTAAAATCGATGATTACAGGAAGAAAATGACGGTGGAACTAATGAATTACGCATCATTGGCAGGTGTTAAGAAATGAATTGTTTTGAATTATTTATCACTTAGTGTACGAGAGAAATTGGTATTGCTTATTACCGAGTATGCTACATTTTATGAAATAGTTCATGGGAACGACATGTTTGTGGTGGATGCATTTCATTTAAAATATGTTTAGACGTTGTTTTTGTAATGAGTTTCAATGGATTTGTTTTATGGTTAAGGTTGGAGCATAATCTATGTAATGATTTTATTTTAATTGACCTGTGATCTGTACATGTACTGACATATTGATTGGAGCATAATGTCTACACTTCTAGCCTTAATTAAAAAGACCATCGTGAGCTTAGTGTGATGTGCATAGATCTGGAAATTTCAAATAGATTACCCAATTGAACGAAGTCAGTATAGGTGTATAGACTGCATAATGACTGAGAGCTTAGCATTCCTCTACGTTTTGTGTTTGGAAATAAGTCAGTATGGTACGAAAAGTTCTAAACGCTCTACATGCAGTGTATATGAAGACATTATAAATGCAGGTTGTTAAAAATGACGAGAATAAAAATAAAAGGGATGTGACCATGATTCAATGAGTAAACATCATGACCCAATGACTTAAAACGTGAAATTTGATCATAAATTCAATGGCCTTTTCTTCTTGTCTTGCACAGAAGTGAGGCTAACTTTGAGTTGGCGTGTTAGTCGTTAGAAATATATTTTATTAAAACGAATGTAGGAAGTTCATGTTTAAGGTCATTGTGTATAGTGATTTAATTTTATATGGAAGAGGCAGTGATATCAAGGTCATTTTAACAATTTGATGCTGTATAAGGTCATTATAATATAGGTCAAAGTTTAATATCATCTGAGACAATAAAAATGTTTATAAAGAATGATATGTAAAAAAAAGTTTTGGTAACAAACATAGTCAAATACTAAAAACAGAATAGTGTTTGCTGAAGACAAATATAAAAATTGATAGAACCCAAAAGATCAATGATGATTCAAAGGAAGTGGGTTTGTACATGTCTTCCTGTTATGCCCGGCCGATTTACATCGTGAACATGATTGCTTTTTTCGGGATTCACCCTTAGATGGGATTCGACGCTTCTTAGGTCGTCCAGGTGGACGTTTAGAACATGCGGGGGGGCTGCAAATAAGTGAATGGACATCCTCTGGCAAAACCCAGGTATCTTTAGATGGAATTGGGTGAACAACACCACTGTATGCACCCCTCCATGCATTTGTCGTATAGTAAGGGGAAACATAATCATAGCATGATAAGCCCGGTCTTTGACGTGTCACGGCGACCGCATGAACGCAAACAAAATTGTCAAGTTGGAACTCACCACAAGTGCATGTCCGGTCTATGAAGTTGACAATAAAAGATCTCCCGTCGATTTCAATGACAAGAAACTCAAAGTTAGAGGCTGGCCGGACCTGCGTATATGTTACAATATAAACTTATACTTGTACTTGTAGAAATTAGGTAAAAAAGGTTTAAATAGGGCTAACCTCCATAACAGCTGAGGAAGCGTGAAGGGCATTAAGCTTGGACTCATAGTGCTTTGATAAAGTGGAAGATGTGGAATTTGCCAGCTCCCGACGTTCATGGAACCACCTTTGCATCCTTCCTAGCAAAAAATCTAATACCCTTGCAATAGGATACTCACGTGGAACAGCGTCGACGCTGTTCATGGATTCCGCAAGATTCGAAGTCATTATGGAGTAACGATTAGTTGAAAATGACCTAGCCCATTTGGCAAAGCCAATTTCTTCCAAATATGGTATAATGCGGGGATCTTCTTGCTCCAGGTATTGCAAATACCGGTAACATTCTGCTTTAGATGCAACACGTGCAGCACCATAAAACTTCCAAGACAATGATTTTTGAGAGCCACGAAAATTGTGTTTTATGTTGCCAAAAATATGAAAAATGCAATGGCCATGACTAACACCGAGGAATACAATGTTCACCGCGCTCAATATACCTTCATGCCTATCGGATATAACATACTGAACAGGACGATACTCAAGGGCTTCCTTGACCTTGGATAGAAACCAGCACCAATTCACTGTGTTTTCTTTATCACAAAATCCAAACGCTAAAGGGAAAATCTGGTTATTACCGTCACGGGTGACTGCACTTAGTAGGGTTCCCTTGTAGTAGGATTTCATAAAAGAACCATCAATTATCAGCACCGGGACGCAATGTTGCCACCCGTCCCTCCATGGAGAAAGTGAAATAAATAAATTTTTGAAGAGATTCCTCGGGGTCATTGAGAGCTGAATAAATGAACCCGAATTAGCCTTACTAAGCATAAAGGTCAAGGATGGCAATGATGCATAAGATTCTTCCAGAGTCCCAAAACAGAGTTGAAGAGCCTTTTCTTTTGCAAACCACGCCTTTTTATAAGTCATATAAATTCCATGCTCCCTTTGCATGTCTACCATAATTGATTTGGGAGGGTAAGGCTTCTTTGTTGCATCATGAAATTGATGTTTCACCAGGTCTGCGACAACATCGTAGGTAGCTTGTCTTGTTTCCCCTTGACGTGCATCTATAGGGCATTGATGCTCGTGGTCGTACCTGGATAATAAAATGCGTAGGTGAATAAGATGAACTTGATGCCAATATGTAAATGATATTTAAATCAAACATATTATATGGACGTTAAGCAGTGCATGTATTCAACTCCAGGTCAGTACATGAGTTTAAGGAATTGGCCATTGTGGCATAAATAAAGGCACATGTAATTTTAAGTATTTTGAAAGTATGTAAAAATAAGTAGTCATTACGTTAAGAGCAAGGTCATTATGACCATACATGAAAGTTGGAAAAATATATTTCATTAATGTAACGTGAGTACACCCAGTGGTCATTTTTTGCTAGGCCTAGTGGTCATTTTACACAGATCAGTACGACCAGATGGAAAAGTCATCATTTTACAGTGGTCATTTAAAGTGTTCATTTTACAGTGGTCATTATACAGTGGTCATTGGTTGCTAGGCCCAGTTCAAAAAGTTGGACATTATGCATTACATCTAATCAAAACGTAGTCAGTACCGTTAAAAAAGCACTGGGGATTTGAGTGCAAATATAAGGACAACCGGTATTCAGTTATAAGGACATTATGTTTAAGGGCGTTATGTAGTCAATATGAAAAAATGACAACTGGACAGAGGTATGTAGAAATTATATGTGTGGAATATAATTTTAAAAGACGAACCTGCGAACTTGAAAAATGTCCACTTTTTTATCCAAACGCACAGCCCGCACTGCCCAGCTGCATCTTTTGTAATCCACGCACACAACATGGAGGAAACTCCTGTTCGATCTTTTGGTCTTGAACTGAAAGTAGTTGGCTATCGCCAGCCTCTTAAGATGGAAAAGAAGATCCTGCTTACTCTCATAAATTGCACTCACCGCAATCGTAGTCGGATCAAACCGGGATATAACCTTCAAATCCCTTAACATAGACATTTCCTCGGCAGACATGGGGCTAATATGTGCCATTGAACTTTCGTTGGACAGCAGCAAATTGTTCTCCACCAGTGATTCCTCAGTTGATGTGTGAAACAAAGGAGATGCCCCAGAGAGTACGAGACGCTGATCGTTGTGATTACTTTGAGGCATTTCTAGGACATCACCACCGTGTGCGTTTGAATGGCCGGAAAGAGATGAGTCCCCCTCAGAAAAATCGTTATTGTCGGACTCGGAACCACATGGGGAATCAGGCCTAGACCATAACTCAACACACAAGGGATAATCACGAACATTACAATGAATCAGTTTCAATCTAATGTAAGAATCAAGGGTAGAGTCATCATGAACAAATGTACGCGGCTGTGTAGGATTGGTCGTGTATGACAATATTAATTCTGAATTTTCCGCATATGAAGGTACGGTCCAACGGATTAACTGGAGAAGATCATGATACGTAGACCCCCGGTAGACATCAATTTCATAGAACTCCTTACAGTCGAATTCCAACGTATCAGACCACACACCATCAAACTTCAGGAGAACACGAACATGGAATTCGTGCGGGGTCAACGTCTGAGAAACTGATTGCAATAAAGAAGAGAACATGATCTTCCTCCAGGCAGTGAAATCGGTGAGAAGGGGATACGAAAAAATGGAAAAAGAAGAAAACCGCTATGCAGAAGATGACGGAAGTGCGGCTAGGGCAGATGACAGACGTGCGTATAATGGGATGTGGGGGTGGGAAGTGCGGCTAGGGCACATGGAAATAAAAACTTAAAAAAAAAGGGGGTGGGAACGGCGAGAAGGACAAAAGGGTCCGACTAAATAAAATAAAGTGCCATTTTTGGGAATAAAAGATGTTGGTGCTATACACGGAAGTTGCCTATGTTTGAGTGCTATATGGAGCAATTATTTCTTCCTTGATCACATAGTGAATATTATTTCTGCTTTCTTTTACTTTATACTCATTTCCTAACCTAGCCAGCCATAACTTCATAATAACATAATAGTAAAATTACATGCCAAATTCATGATCGGGAACTATTTTCCCAACTTCTACAAAAAATTACAAAAGAAATCTACATTATACATCGTGGGAACAAAATATGGCAAACTTAAAGGCACATAGAAGATAAGCAGAAAATTACTCACGGGTGACGCGAGTTTTGTTGAAATAACTCTCAGGTCCTTCTATTTTTAAAAAGACAGTAGAGGTCCTTACATTTTGTTGTAATGACTAGAAGGGGACATTTCATCTAACATTTCATCTATAAACGTTAATAAATGTATTTTTTCCTATTTTTTTAGAAATGTTTTAAGATAATAAATCTTAGGTCGCTCCTTTTATTATTTCTTTGTTTTTCTTTCATTTTGTTACTATTTTTTAAAGTGTTATTTTAGAATTTTTTCTATAAAATCGTATAAAAATTCAAAATTGTTTGTATTATATTAAAACAAATGAAATAAAAAAAATTTAAAAAAAGAAAAACAAGATAATGGCAAAATAGGAAAAAAAAAGTATTGGAAAAATAGGAAAAAAATACATTTATTAACATTTACGGATGATGCATTGAATGAAATGTCCCCTCCCAGTCATTACAACAAAATATAAGGACCTCGGTTGTCTTTTTGAAAATAGAGGGACCTGAAAGTTATTTCGACAAAACTTGCGTCACCCACGAGTAATTTTCTGGAAGATAAGAGAAAAAACAAATATTATAATTGAAATTTACACTAAGTAGTACTAAAACATATGTCATTTTCCAATTTGTACTTAAACTTGTTTATTTCCAAAATAGTACTTGAATAATATGGAGGATATTTTGTTTGAACAATGTCCAGTAGCGGTAGACATTTACTTGAATAATGACCAGTTGACAATAAACACTGGTACCACATTGAGAAATAAAACATATGATACTACATTAAAAAAATCACTATGTTTTAGTAGTATATATTAAATTCTCCAATTATATTATAAAAATTTACACCAACTCTAATTCTAGTTGCTATTAAAAACATAAAATGCAACTGTAAATAAATCAAATCAGAACCCCGACAACGACGATGATAATAATAATAATTGAAATTCAACGCATTAATTAATTAACATACATACATGGTAAGTTGGTAATACATGAGTACAGAAATCAGAAATTCTAAAAACAAGTCTCTCTAGCGTGTTCCATTGTGAGCCCGCTAGCTAGCACAATGGAGCATCAAGATGCAACCACTTCATGAGGTGGCAACATCTCGACGCTCCATTACACCTGCATGCTCCACCGAGTATTCAGAAATTCTGAAAACAGTAAAACTTTGTAATTACATTTTTTTCTTCATATGGACTCCTTCGGGCAATGCGCGCGTCCAAACAATCAATTCAAAGAATCTCTTTCTGCAGGTATGTATGTGTGTATGTATGTGTGTGTATAGAGGCAAGGCAAACTGATTTGTTTGCTTAGCCAAGTTAAAAAGAATGATAAGAGTATGAAAATATACTTATGGCCTCTCCTTTGATGCAATAAGAATGTCTGATGAGTTTGAATGAATGTTTGAATCTCCGGGCAATTAACTAACTGCACACAACCTCAACAGACAGTTTCTTCATCACATTTGGGCATGGATCTCCTCCAAAGGCTTCGGGTGTTACGGGCACCGTGCAAAAGTTCCATCCAATGCAGTACTGCAAACATCAACACCTCATTGGTAAATGTTTTGGTTAGTTCTTGTAAATAAATTACAAAGCTAAATCATAATGGCACTTCATGTTTCCTTTGCTTCTTATTTGAGGTGTTAAGTAACCCAAAAGCTCAAGCCTCTATGGTTATAGGCTCAAGAAAGATTTTATACTCTAATACGTCCCCTCACATGTGGACAAGATTTTTGTTTTTGCTCGAGTCTTGCATGGTTGTGGTTGTAGTCTTGTAAGCCAAGGAAAAAAATTTCCTATTTTTGGGGTACATCGTCTCTCCTCACCATACATTTTTTTATCCAAGATCCAATTTTTGGATCCTGGATTAGAAATGTGTTGTGAGGGGAGGGGCGGGGTACAACTTGGGGTACAACTTGGTGTTCCCCAAGCATTTTCGTAGTCAGATTACCTTGTGAAAAATATCGTAGGAGCGGAATGCGTGGCAGCTTCCCTGGCGGAAGCTTCCACAAACCCCCTGGGGAGTTCCAAAGCTAGCAAATTTGATTGAGGAGATCTTCTGACCAGGACCACAGGAGAGGTGAGCTTTAGGCCTGAGTGGTTTGTTGACTTCACCAGATGATTGCATCTTCCAGTTCATCAACTGTGGTTGCCACTCATATATATCTGCACACACACTCTCAACTTCGCGTTTCACCAGCGAGATCCCGTACGGGTTTCCTCCCCATTCTTCAAATATAACTAGCAAATTCCCAGTCGGCTGCAGGAAAGACCGAGGAACATGGTACCTGTGGGACACCACCAATCACCATGTAGTTTAATTTGGTTGCATTATTATTAGAAGAAAGAAAGAGATTGTCGAAGAACTGGAAATTTTTTTGTCAAGTGACCAACTCGACCAGAAGCTTGTGGTTGAAGGTTCAACAAGACTTTGATACCATGTCAAGAAAAAACCAACTCAAAAAAAAGCTGAAGCTTATGGATGAAATCACAGGAAAGATTTTATACAACATTTTCTATCCCACATACCATCTTTGTGTAGCTTCGCCACAGTTACTCAGGCATTTATTCTCATCATACCAACCAGCGTAATTACAGGCACCACAGCTGCCAGATGCTGTGTTTGCAGGCCAATATCGCCCGATGCTTTGACCGTTTATCCATGCCTGACCTTTGCCCATAGTGATCATATCCAATGCCAGAGGTTCATTCTCCGGCGGAGCATTGAAAGTAGTCTGTAAAAGTGAGGCAAGGACTTTCACACGTTTTTAGTCACACAGATATATGTAATGGTAAGTGTAGGGCCATAAACTAAAAGCAACAATGTGCGGCACACACCTTATACCATGTGAGTGGCTGTTTTTGAACCACAAAAGCGCCTTGAATCCATTCAATTGAGGAGCTCCCAGTGAGTGAGTGAAGCCTCATTTCTTCTCCTTTGAGGCCAATCTGAAAGGGGGAAAAAGTTCCAAATCAAGAAATATGTTTAAATCTTTAAGAGAACAATATGTAAATAAATACCTTGTAAGACCATTTCTGCCAGGTTAAATCTCTCTTCCCCTCGTTAAGACCAGAAAGAGAAACCGGGCCAAGAATGCCAGTGTTCCATGCCTCAAAATGAGGACCTATGTTCTGATAAGAAGTAAAGTCAGAAATTTTGTGTACTTCATAAATTTTCATTTAAATTAAATGCGAAAAGTGCATGTGCGAAGGAGATGCATAGGGGTGTTTGCTAAGAGTTCTTGGAAAGTTGGAAAGAAAGAAAAAAAGAGCTCTTACCCTTTGTTTGGATGGGGAGAGAAAATGAGAGGAAAGAAATTGGAGAGAAAATGAAGAGAAAAAATTAGTGTTTGGATGGATAGAAAATGATGATAAGAAAACGGTGAGAAAAGAGATGAAAAAGATGGAAAAATAAAATCTTGTGGTGGGAGGAGGATGATGCCATTTTCTCACCAATGTTAGAGAGAAAACTTTTTGTGTAGTTTTCTCCCCTCCCTCATTCTCTCACAAAAAACAAACAATATAAAATGCTTCGTAATGTGTGTTTTCTCACATTGTATTTTCTTTCCTTCCCTTTTCTTATTATCCAAACGGAGGTTAGGGCTAAGAACTCCTATTAGTAGTGTTTGGAAAAGAGCCACATGAAGAGCTTTTTGCTCCCAAGAAAATTGTTTACAAAAGAAAAAAATTGTTTTTTCAAGATTTTTGGAGCAGTTACTTTTGAAGATTGGTTTACAAAAACATAGTTTTTCAAGTTTTTTGAAACAACTACTATACCCACACAGCTAACACCTAAAAGTTCGTTGCCATGAGAACAAACCGGAAGACCAACGGCAATGCTTAACAATGAAATTTTATTAACTCCAGCTCTCATATGCACTGCTTGGCTGAAAGTTACTTTTGGATTCTTTAAACTTCCATAGGCACTTCCTGTGGAAATGCACAAAGTTATCATATTGTCGCAATAACTTACTAACTAATCCTAACCTCCACCAAACAAAACCATACTACATACCTACTAATTGACCGTTGATGTAAACATGCAAAGCGTGTCCCGCTGAGAAGACAGTAAGCCAAGGCCACTTTCCATCTCTCAAGAATCCCTCTCTTGAGTCAATTGTGACACTAGTAATGAAACGTGCATTGAAATAAGTAATTACTTGGATAAAGGCGATTTGATTCAACATTTAGAATTATAATTACATGTGAAAACATGACTTTTCAAGGAACCAACTCAGCCAAAAACTCAAGCTTATGATTGTAGGTTGCAGGCAAGGTCTATTTTGAGAATTCAAACTCGTGATCTCTAGGTCAACAGGGCTTCGATACCATATTAAGGAACCAACTCAACCAGAAGCTCAAGTTTGTGGTTGTAGGTCTAAAAATGTTCTTATACTCTAAAATGACTAAATTTCTGAAGTTTGAAGGACACATACTCTGTCATGTACCACAAGTAGTCAGAAGCATCTCTAGTGGTGTTGATCTGCTCCAACAACCCAACAGCTGTAAATGCATTGTCATCGTACGATGTTGTCTCTTCATTGTATGAATGCCAAGATAAACCTTGGCCACCAGCTGAGGTCATCTTCATTTGTGTGCTTTGAGCACCAACCTGTAGGCATGGAAGGAAGGAAGTCAGTGCTGTTTTTTTTACAGTGCCGTGAAATATGTCAAGGGTTATTTCTTCTCACCCTAGCAGTATTATATACGGTGTTCTTGCAGTCAGGAAGAATGCTGACTGACCAAGGGGGTAAATTGTAGTGCATGTTTCCAAAAGACACTTTAGCAAATGAATGCTCGCCGTGGTTTGCAAGGAATGCAGCACAAGTTCCTGACTTTGATTTGAAGATGCGTGCCTTTATAATAAATAAAAAAACAGAAAACCAGTCAAGTTTTTATCTAAAATGTGAAACAAATACAAATGGTGTTTTGATAATCCGAAAGGGGATTTACCTCTTGAAAATTTCCAAGAGATTTTATAATCGGATCCCCAGATACTAAAGCCGGTTCACACAGTTTTATTGCTCTATGCAGATCTTTCAGATGGCCCCATTTAGGTTCCCTCAGCAATCCTTTGAAAGGCGAACAGTCAAAAGTTTTGTTTTTCCCCAATAGTGTGTATATGTATATATATGAGATTAGCAGAGTATGTCTAAGGTGAGCCTTGTCAAAAAAAAATTAGGGAATATTTGCAATTTGCGAAGGGTTCATTCATCCATATTCAGCTGATATGGGATAATTTCAAACAGAACAATATTGAAAACATCATAGTCATAGCTAGTAGTAATTGGATGCACTGGTTCATACCAAATTCATCGAGAGGAGCATCATAGTCATAGCTAGTGGTAATAAAAGGACCACCCGATGTCCTGCCAAAGTTTGTGCCTCCATGATACTGCAAACAAACACCCAGATGACGAAACTATGAAAAGAAGAAAGGAAATTTGAAACCCAGGCAAGAAAATTGAACAAGAAAGAAACCATGTAATAGTTAATGAATGATCCCCCTTTCATTATAAACTTTGCAACAGAATATGCCAAATCCTCAACTGGACGATGAGGTACTGGACTGCCATACTCTGTAAACCTGCAACAATTAATCAAAAGAATATCGTTAGCAAACTCTAATGATATATAGTTCTGGCTTTTGGTTTAGAGTGGAGAATTTGATCTAAGCATTATTACCAGGCTGTCCAGGCTTCAGTCCAAATCTTTGGTTTGTATGCCTTATTAGGGGTAAAGTAGTCACAGTAGAAACCGTTGCAAGTATTAATCTGGGAAAGAAAGCATTTGAAAAAACATGAAATTCGTTGCTACGCACGTAACTGAGTAAGAAAGAGATAAGAATGACAAAGAATGCAATATTGGGAACACATACAATTGGATCCGGGGCATCATCTTGCTTGCACATGATCCACGGGACACCCGTTCCAAGATTTAGAGCCATTTTTGCTGCCCATTGTGCATAAGCACGACCCGGTGCACCGAGTTCATACTCCATGGGTCCATATTCATTCTCAATCTAAAATACAAAATTTATCATTTTTTTCTCATCATGCAAAAGGCCCCTAATTAAATCGCCGCTTTGGCCCTAAATGGGCTAAAATCAGTACTAATAAGGACTTTACAGCACTAGAAATGGTAATTACCTGGGATAAGATTATAGGACCACCCTGAGATTCATACAGCCTTTCTGCTTTCATCATATTAACAACCATGGTTGTGAATTTCTTCATTGCAACCTTTTTGAAGTCCATTTTTTAAAACGACCCATTTTAATTAAAAATTAGAAAAGCAATAATATAATCATCATATGAACAAAACATTTTCATGACCAATCTTCCTAACCTTGAAAGGTTCATTGTCTGTTCTAAAACTTATCCCTGGAACATACTTCAGCCAAACCGGAAAGCCACTGAAATCAAAACCGTTCAGCCATTGAAATTTGAACATATATAAACTTCCAGATTATTAGAATTATATCTATGAACATTTACCCAAAGTTCCATTCACCACAAGCATAAGGTCCAACTCTGAGATGAACATAAAGCCCAGCTTCTTGAACCAACTTAACGAATTTCACAAGATCATATCTTTCCTCAAAATAATACTGCAAACCCCAGCAAAAATTCAATATTTCATTCCAAAATCTGCTGACTGTAAGTAAACAGAAGTACATTCAACAACAACAAAAAAAGACAATTTACATACTTTGCCAGGTTGAGGTTCATGCCCATTCCAGAAAACATAGGTCTGAATCACATCCAAGCCTCCTTCTTTTGCTTTCTGAATAAGATCTGGCCACATCTGTACCCACCCACCACACCCAAAAAAAACTTAGAAATACCCAAATTCCCAATATTTGGAGAGAGAGAGAGAGAGAGAGAGATTGAATTGGATAAACCTCAGGTTGTAGGAAGAAAAATGGGCAGAATCCAAAAAAAAAGGATGAGCAGAATCTATAATATATACCTCAGGAGTGCTTCTTGGGTAGTGAATGGATCCAGAAATGAGAATCTTTCTCTGCCCATTAACAATGATAGCATTCCTATCATATGAGACTGAAGCATTCCCACAATAAACCCAAGACACCAGAAACACAATCCCCACAAATACTAGTCTAAGACCCATGTTTTCTTGCTATATTATGGTAAGATTCTCTCCGGTGCGGAGATTTAGTGACTTGGATTCAAGAAAACAAAGAACACTTTTTGTGGGGCGCACATATCGTCCTAGTAGTAGTAGTAATGCTCCTATATTGTTTGGTGCACTGCTTCAGAATACTTTGCTTTAATGGGATGTTGAAAATCTGCAAAAATAAAAAAAAACTGGGTGCTTTGCAGTTTGCAGACTCCAGCTGCTCTTTTTAATGAGAGCACTGTTGAAGTTGGAGCATCTCTCTATCCATGCATCAAACAACTAGATGTTTGACTTATAGAGAGACTTAAAAATTAGGAAAATAATTGGGGACCCAATAATTGAGTGTTTATGGCCTTGTTTGGGAAAAGCATTTTCAATTAGCGTTAGCGTTTTGGATAAAATATTAACGGTGTAGATTAATTCGGAAAACGATAACGTTAAAAACTACCGTTAGATAGCCTTTTCAAAACGCTGACGCTAATCTCTGACGTTGATGCCAAACGAGATATATGTGTACTTGGTGTAATCTCTTCATCCTAAAACTAATTTCTTGTTTCAGTTTATGAGAGATTTGACTAAAGTTATTTTTAGATCAATTTATTTGATTATGATTAAAAATAATAGAGATATTAAGAAAAAATTATCATTCCTACTTTTTTATTGTGAAATTACCCTATTTTATTTTGTTGCTTTTATAATTGTTATTCAAATATTATTAATATTCCTTCTTGCAATTCCCATATATAGCGGTGAAACTTTCATTATTCAATAAGACTAATTATTATCAAATTTTATCATGGTATCGGAGCAAGATTTCTCCTCTAAAAAAATGGTGTGCATTCCTAACAACCGCCGCTAATCTCAACGAGCGTGCTTAACAACTGCTGCCTCTTATCTCTATATTTTCCTCCAAAAAAATCATGGGCATGCGTAAGAGCCGTCATAACTTATCTTTTTCTCTAAAAAAATCATGTGCATGATCGAAGAACATGATGATCGCATTTGTCTATAATTTATCTAGAGACCGAGAGCATGGAAAGCGGCAGAGAACTGCCACAAGGAGAAAAAAAGTAACTCCTCGTTCTTGCTCCAATCGCCAACACTCGTCTTGAAAAAAATTTAGCAAGCATACTCTCAAACTCGCTCATTATGCAACGAAAATCTATCTCTCTACTTCTAGCGACTATTCTCACTAAATTGCTTCTGCCAATTTCATTCTAGCACCTGTGCTCCAAGCTGCTCATCGTTACCGATAATGCATGGAGATATTAGGAATAATATGGATAATAGAAAAGCAAAATATAACATACTACATTCACCTCAATAAATCAAAATCATCCACATTTTCATATCCCCTTTCTAAACTCCATGACTCATACTTTTCTACTCACACCAACCCGCTTACGCGGCTCCTACGTGGCACCCGTCAAGCCTTCCGTAACCCATAGTCTAAGACCATGTGTTATGACCTACATGACCGAGCATTAGCACCGCCATCTCACCCCATTCCTCATTACAGTGGCAGCGTGAAGGGGCGTTGCCCTAGCTTTGGTGGCTACAATCACGATAGTGATGGCCTTCTCCCTTCCACTATTTATTTATTTTCAACTAATCAAAGTTAATCACACATTCATCCGAATTAATCAAAATAATTCATATTTTATTTTTTTTTTTTCACTTTTTTTATCACACCCTCTTTTAAACACTATAATACACACTTTTCTATTCACTCTCACATGTTGAGAGAGCGCCAATTTGGCATCCCATCAAGCTTCGCTATCACACATAATCTAATATAGAGTATCATTTTCCCAAAAATAAATATTTCTTAGAAAATTCTATGTGTACCCCACATTTATACTCCATTTTGTACTCAAAGATTTGTTCTGCCATTAAATATATGTGCAAAATTGGTATTATGCCATTATTGCACTTACATTTTATGTCAGAGTAAACTTTTAGGATACAAATGGAGTACAAAATGGGGTGAGAGTAGCAAACCCATATTTCTTTCTCCCATTTGAGTCCAATAATATCATTGGTAATGGGTGCCATCAGAGTTGAAATTGAGCTTTATTACTTGGTCCGTCCCTGAGTGTTTGTTCACTTTTGACTTTTGGAACTGTTCATTTAAACACTTTGACTTATCAAATTCTCTCAATGTGTAAGCCTAAAAATAGTCATGTGTGATCTTGTTTGATTCGTCTTAACATATAGATTATTAATATATAATTTTTATATTTTTTTAATATACAAATTACAAGATAAAATAGATTAAAGAAGTGCATTGGATGGTGTGCAAAAATGAAAGTGGACAAACACTCAGGGACGGAGGGAGTAGTACGTACTATAAAGCCGTACAGTTCTTGAATTGAAGATGATCTATTGTAATTAATTAATTAATTATTAGTACCATCTGATCTTATCTTATCAAAGAGAGGTTAGAGGAGAGCTTTCAAACATAAGTTCAAATCAGTTTATTAGTACCCACAATTCAGTTTTTGCATCTTCTACCGAACATCACATGCACAAGACAATATAACTCGTTTTGATCAAGCTACATTACAGCCTGTCTGTAACACTCATCCACCGAACTAAAATACGGAGTGATGGAGTATTAATTAAGGACTAATTAATTTAAAACCGCACAAATATACCCTAGTTAGTTGATACACGTATTATACTTACGTATGTGTATATAGTAGTACGCGTATTATACTCATGTATGCATATGATTTTCAAAAGTACCTTAAAGTGAAATTTGTACTAAATAATAGTAAAACATATGTCATTTTCCAATGTACTACTTAAATGTTTTATTTTCTAAATAGCACTTGAATAATGTCTAGTGACGCGAACAATTTCCAGTGATGGTAGACATTTAATTAGTTTGAACAATATCCAGTGCCGGTGAACATTTACTTAAACAATGATTAGCGGATAATGACCAGTGATACTACATTATGAAATAAAAACATATTGTACTACATTGGAAAAATTATTATGTTTTAGTACTATTTAGGTAAATTCCTCTGCTCTAAGATAGATGTTTAATTGATCGAGACAATACGTACGTATAATTATGTATAATACGTATTGATTGAATATGTCATTATAATCTTTTTAACAACAAATATTACTCCCCCATCCTAAAACGTTCTTCCCAATTTTTATTTACGAGGTTTGACCCACTTTTTTTAAATTCAATTTATTTGATTGTAGGTGTAAAATTAAAAAATAAAATTTATATATTTAAAAACTACATCAAAAGTTCTACGAAACAAGAGGCGACGAGACTATATTATTTTATCAAATAACTAACAAAATAGGTAAAGAAAGTGATTAAAATTTGATCGTGCGAATAGTTACTGGAGAATATTTTAGGACGGAGGGAGTAATTTGTTTCAACAAACATTTAAACAAAATAATACTTTGTACCAAGTACTTATACCATACTAATTTATTGTCACAAAATTAATATGTACTCCGTATTATATTTACCATTAGATCCATTAAGTTGACTTTATTGAATTAAGGGCTAAATAGCTCCACTGCCTCATGTGATTTAAAAAATTAGCATTAATATCATTCTGTTTCAAAGCTTATTTCTAAAGTCTCTGTGATTTCAAAACGTTACACTCATACTCTCTTTGATCATTTTCTGGTCATTTTCCGAAAAAGAGGGAACATTGGTGCATAATTTGTAAAGCACAAGGACACACGTGCTCATTTCTAATTTTTTGTTTAATATTTTATCCCCCCCCTTAGGTTTTTTTTTCTTTTTACCAGAAATTTTTTTAAATTCTTTTCAATTTTTATATTGTTTTAGAAAATTCAAAATCTTTGTATTTGAAATAAAAATATTATCATATACTATACCTATCTCAAATTAAACATTTTTGCTTTTTCTTCTCTTGAATTCTTTTTTGGTAAGTTCAAAAAGAAAATCCAAAATAAAAAAATAAAAATATGGAAAAACAAATTGAAAAAATTGACACATGCAAAAAAGAGTCTTATACAAAAAGAAATTTTCAAAACGCCTAAAAAAGTCCTTAGAATTGGGATGTCCAAAAAGGAGTCGTTTTTATTTTTTTTATTTTATTTCTTATTTTATTCCTCATTTTTGGAAGTTAGATTAAAAAGTTTTTACTTTTTTATTTCGGAAAACAAAAATAAAAATTGTTAATTTGAGACATTCAGTATATGTTAATTACAGTATTTTTTTCAAACAAAAATAATTTAAAATTTTAATAACATCATAAAAATAATTTTAAAAAGAAATTTAAAAAAACACATGATTAATAAAAGAAACAAATAAAGGGAAAAAAATAAAAAATAAAAGAGAAATAAGAAATAAGCACCAGTGCCCCCAGTGATTTGGAAAATATGCACTAATGCCCGCTTCTTCGTCAGAAAAATGGCCGAATAATGCAATTATATCACACCAAGCAATGCAAGAAGGTTTCATGCAATAAAAGTCAATAAGAATATGAAATTTTTCAAGAAGGCCTAACTTGAAGGAAGTATAAAAGCCAATTCCAATGATTACCTTTTGTACGGTCGAGATATGAGCTCTTCCATTGGGAAAACATCCGATGAAGGTGGGAGAAAATTAAATTTGGAGGAAAAAGCTTCAATCATGTCAAAAGATTGGAAAAGGAGATCGGACGTAGTCCTTCAAACTTTTGATGCATGGGTGCATCATTTACAATACGTATTTGCATATAATAATGTTAAGCATGTTGCATAATAATCAGAACAAGTAACATGTCATACAAACTAGTGAACTACTGTAAGTCTGTAACTAGTTCTTATATCCAGCAAAGGATTAAGAAAATTTGGGCCTTCATGCTCTCTCTATATATTCTGCCTTGCATTGTGTGTGCATATTGAGGAAGAAATATAGTCTGATCAGGTATTAATCCATCCATGTTCTCACCACATTGGATCATGAGATCCTTATTCCGTACCCTAGAAATATGAGGCCCCATAGAGTTGAAGAACGTCGAGCCTATCGCCCCTTTGGACCTGAACGTTTCCACAAAGTAATTAAGGATCACTAGCTTTAAATCTTCACCCTCACAGTACACCATGCTCCCAATGTGTCATGCAGATGCAACCCATGGATAAAGTTATTCCTTGCAATGCGAAGCATATTGATCGATGAAAATAACGGGTATTTACATCCCGTGCACAAATTGGGAATTGCTTCGCTCTTTGTCTCCCAAAAAAAAACTCCTTCTCATCTCTTAAGCAACCCAGTTATGTTCCTTCTCTGACACAGGCTTGCAGAAACAACTCTTTCCAAGCCCTCGATGCCACCACTCTATCTAGACGCTCCACAACCTAGTTAGGGGTACCACGGCCCCTTCCCCAAGTAAAAAGATAGCCCGCATCCCCAAATTAAATAAAATACAATCATAAATCACTTGATTGAAACCGGCCAGAAAAAGACACGATGAGGGCATCCCCCTTCTTCTCTCACGTGAATCATTAAAGTCACTCATCACAAGATAATATAGGTCATGTTCTCTCCAACTTATTATTTTATTTATTACTTATTCCTATTGGAATTAGATCAGACCAGATCAGATCAGAAATAATTTAAAATAAAATTACATTCAGATCAGAACTTATTTTAATCTGATCAGAACTAATCAGGTGAAGAGAACATGGCCTTAGTCTTCAATGCCCAAAGCAAATCCCACGACTCCATCTAATCTGTTGATCTCTCCTTGAGCGCCCATAGAAACATGTGAACCTCCATGGACAAATGTTCGTAAGAGAGACAACAAAATCCACATCGAACCTCGAATAGCTAATAAGGTTCTCATTAAATTCTCCCCGACTCAAAACCGTTATATCAACAACAAAGAGACCTCCAAACCCCAACTTCATCCTCAGCTCCTCCACTTCTTGCACCCTTCATTTCCATTAAAAAATGGGTTTTTATCCAATGAGAATTTACTTAAATATCACTAAAACATAATGACTTTCCCTAAATAGCATCACATGTGTTTGTTTCCAATGTAGCACTTTTACTTATTATGCATTAGTCATTATTTAAGTAAATATTCACCTTCACATGACATTATAAACATTATTATGTGCTATTTAGGGAATAAAACAGTTTAAATGATACTTAGGGAAATGCCTGAAATTTTAGTGCTATTTAGTGCAAATATTTCTTTAGCCAATCAATTTTTGAACTCTCCATCGGTTGTCCAACCCACGACAACTCCAACTAATAACACATACTCCGTCCAGAAAACTTTCTCAAAAGTCAAAACAAACCATTGAAATCTTAGAAGAAAAAAAAAGTGAATTGAATAGGAACAACCTCCGGAAATGCCATAGTTGAAAAATGCATCCTCCAAATCCCATTACCTACTTACCATGAGACTGATGAAAAAGCAGCCTGTCACATTTGGTCAAGTTCTGAAAAAGTGCCGCCAGCCCACCACAATTATCCTTTCAAATTGCTTTTTGCCCATCAATTTATACCAATAATGCTCTCAATTTGTGCCTCAATCTCAAATGTAAACAAACCCTAGATTGGCTAGGGAGGGAAGAAATCTCGACTCCTACTTAGGAAATGGATAGGATAAAACACTAAATGCACTGATAACTAGACCTGGCAAAAAATGACCCGATCTGTTTTTGACTCGAAACCCGATCTGAAAATACTGGGTTTTGAAAATACTGGGTTTTGAACAAATTTTTTGATGACCGAACACGAAGTTGACCGAACCCAAAGTGACCCGCTAAAAATGGGTCAAACCCGACCGGACCTGAACCCGACTTGACCGACCCGCTAAAGTAAGAATTTTTCAAAATTATACACTTTACTACTCGTTTTTAGTGTTTAAATTTATATTTTCAGACAAAACTTTAATGATATTGCATAATTCTCTTACTTTTTTCCAAAACTTAAGCATTTTTAAATTCCCTATATTGATTTATATATCTAAAAATTACTTCAGAGTTTAAAATACAATAATTTTATAGATTTAATACATTTTTTTTGATATTTTAAATTTATTTAATAGAAAATGTAAGTGTTTATGTGAATTTAAAAATTTAAAAAACCAAAGTCATAACCCGTTGGGTCGACCCGAACCAAGTGACACTGGGTCATGAACATATAGTTCTCAACCCGAACCCGAATTGACCCGAACCCGAAGTAACCCGAACTTGAAGTTACCGAACTCGAACACGACCTGACCGACCGATTTGCAGCTCTACTGTTAACTAAATACATCTCGCATAATTATGTTTTTATTTTAAAAATTTATATAAAAATTATTTTTTTAAGAATAACATTATGATAAAAAATTTAAAAATATTCATTATTTATTTCATTTATTATTTTCAAAAAAAATATATAAATTTTAATTTTAATTATAAAACTTTGGCTATCTTTTTTTATTTTCCTATAATTACATTAATTCATTATTATAGAAATAAGCTGGTGAAATGCATATTGTATAATAATAATTAGAAAACAAAAAGATCTATACAAAGTTAATGGTATCTGAATGTAAATAAATGAAAGTTATATTAATTAATGAAAAAATAATATCACATATACCAAAGTTTTAAATTTAAAAATTTGTATATTTTTTTGAAAAGTAAAAATGAAATAAATGGTGGATAGTTTTACAAAATTATATTAAAAAAATTCATTAAGTAAATTTATATAAAGTTTTTAAAATTATGCATCACAGGCTGAATTTAGTTGACGGAGTGTATTTAGTATTTTAGTGGTGTGACTATCACTATCCTTAGGAAATTGTTTGTTTTATGTTCGACTATATTTGTATTTATCTTGATTGAAATAAATAAAACATTATTTTCATTTTTGTCCTACAAAATTGAAAAAAAAGAGTAGATTCTCAAAATGGAACTAAATAACTACTACCTCCGTCCCAGAATATTTGTCCACTTTCATTTTTACACACCATACAATGCACTTCTTTAATCAATTTTATCTTGTAATTTGTATATTAAAAAATTATAGAAATTATATACGGAGTAGTAATAATCTATATGTTAAGACAAATCAAACAAGATCACACATGACTATATTTAGGCTTACACATTGAGAGAATTTGATGAGTCAAACTGCTTAGATGAACAGTTCCAAAAGTTAAAACTGGACGAATACTCCAGGACGGAGGGAGTATGTGTGTTTCTAAATTAGCCCCTAAGATGAAGTAATTATCGAGATGGTGCTCGTTAATTGAAAATAATGTCTACTTTAGCCCCCGACTAAACGCCATAAAATAATGTCTAGTTTAGTCAAAACGACATTAAAACTTGTACTTATATTCCAAAATCATTTTTTTCAAATTAGTCAATTTTCAAATTAAAATTTCATAAAAATTGTCTCCTGACTTCGCTCAAACATCATTAATTAATTGAAAGGGAAGAACCCTACCTCAATTTTTCATACTCCGTATTAAATAAGTTTTTACATTGAAAATAGACTAATTTGAAAAAAACATTCAATTATATAGATCAATTTGAAAAATTAGTATAAGTTTTAATATCGTTTTAACGATGTTAGTCTGAGGGATTAAACTAAGGATTGTTTCAATCAGCGAGCATTATCTCGGTAATTAGTTCATATTAGGAAATAATTTGAAAATTACATAATTACTCAGTACTATTTTAGAAATTTATTCAAAAAAAGGCACACATGTTAGATGTGTAGAAAAAGATATGAGAAACCAAAAAATAAATAAACAGAGAAAATAAGAGTGAGGAGTACTCCATGTACTTTATCACGAAATTCTAAAATGTGATATTATGAGTTTGAAATTCATGCTGAAAAGAAAAAAATAAATACTCACTCCCTGTTTAAAAAATTACCACAATTTAATTTTTTTAGTCAAAGTATGACACATTTTGACTGAAAATTATAGAAAAAGTAAATTTAAATATAATTTAGATTTACTAAAATTAAATTTATGTTAAAATATACTCCCTCCGTCCCCAATTTGATTATAAATTGCGGGTTATGGAGTAAAATTTCTTACTTTTTGAAATCATTTTATTTATAAATTGGTATATCAATAAGCTATAAAAATTACATATTAAAAAACTACGTCAAAAATTCTACAAAACAAGAGGTGACAAGAATATTTTATTTTATCAAATACTTGATGAAATCGCATAAACAAACAAAAATTATCGAGATGAGAGAGAAAAAAAGATTGTAATCTATTTAGAGGAGGGAGTAGTTTGAAATATCAAATTTTTATAATATTTAATAATTTTAAATTATATTTAATTTGTGGAAAAAAAATACAATTTGACCAATCTTTTAGAGACGGAAAGAGTAATATGAACCCATCTTTCTTTAAGGTAGTGTTTGGCAACTAGCATTTCATTTCAATTCATGCATTTCAATTCCAAAATTTAAAATATTGAATTTCAAATGACAAGAGGAGGTGCATAAATTTTAAATTAAGCTTTATTATGAACGAGAAGAATTTAAGTCAAATCCAAATTTAAAATCCAAATTCATGTTCCCAATCATGCCATAAAGGAATTCCAAACATTAATATGAGGCATTCCAAAAAAAAGTGAAACTTCATCAAGGGTGAAGGGATTATTACATTGGACCAAGAAATATCTTAATTCCACAAAAAATAAACTCACTTTCAACTACAGTTTAATTTAAAGACGCTACTAAAAAAAACTCTTAAGCATTCGTAAGAGGAAAAGCATGGCATTAATCCCACATAATTTGCTAGTCAAAAGTGTAGTTCAGAAATTGTAATAGTAATAAACACTGAAGTAAAAAAAAGCCAATACCCCCAAACTCTCATTTTGGTGCTTGCTACTATATTTAGCTCTTGGTCCAGTGAGTGCCAAATCTCATTACTCATCCCTTGTAGCCTTTCAAACTAAAAATGCTCNTCACGGACGAGTAGATCTTCCGAACAAACCAGAAGCACGCATAGAAGCCGATGGTGCCAGTCAAGACAAAGAAGGCATATGACGCAATCAGCATGTAGCCGAAATACAAAAGCCCCGAGACCAGCTTTGTGATTTCCAGCTTGGTGAAGAAGTAGAAAATGGAGTAGAGGAAAAGGTATAGGGCAGAGGAACCGGAAGTTAGGTAGGCCCTCCACCACCAATAGTAGTCTTCGCTGCACAACTGGAAGTAGCAGAGCACAACGGTTATCTCTGCGCAGGTGATCAGCAAGATCACAAAAACTATGAAGAGGAAGCCGAAGATGTAGTAGAACTGGTTCAGCCAGATGGAGGTCAAAATAAAGAAGAGCTCAATGAAAACTGCCCCGAAAGGAAGGATCCCTCCAATGAGAATAGAAAAGGCTGGTTTCATGTACCATGCCTGTTCGGGTATTTGCCTTGGGATCTTGTTTGTCTTCACGGGGTCTTCCATCGCTGGTTTTTTGTATCCCAAATAACTGCCCACAAACACTAAGGGCACCGAGATGCCGAACCATAAGCAGACGAGAGCAAACATGGTTCCGAATGGAACAGCCCCAGAAGATTGCTCGCCCCAGATGAGAGCATTCAGTACAAAAAAGACCCCGAAAAGAATCCCAGGAAACAGGAAAGCAGTTTTCAAGGTGATCTTCTTCCACTCTGAGCCCTTGAACATTTTGTATAGGCGTGATGATGAGTAACCGGCAAACAAGCCCATGAAGACCCACAGTAGAACCATGGCTGTCATAAGCCCGCCTCGGTTGGAAGGTGAAAGGAAACCCAACACAGCAAATATCATTGTCACCAGTGTCATAGCAAATAATTGAACACCGGTCCCAACATAAACACAGAGTAACCCTGAATTAATAGGAGGCCTGAACACATCTCCGTGAACAAGTTTCCACCCCGTTTCTTCCTGAGCTTCATCTTGTGTTTCCAATTGATTGTAGTTAGAGATGTCTTTGTAGAGAGTTCTCATCATGATCATGGCAACCATGCCGGAAAGGAAGAGAACGATCATAAGAGAGTTGATAATGGAAAACCAGTGGATCTGATCATCATTCATGAGAAGGTAAGTGTCCCAACGTGAAGCCCATTTTATTTCGCTTTCCTGGAGCAAGAAAACACATAGAAATAAGATCGGAAAGTGCAAAAATAATAATTTTACAAAGCATGAAATGAAAAAAATACACTGTGATGGTAATAGTACCTTGAAAGACACATCGTAAGTAAAGACAACTTCCTTTCCTGTGTCGATTTCTTGAGGAACAGTACTACCTTGAATCATATCTTTGGTCTTGGGGGTACAGGTTGTCACCTGAGGGTTTTTTTCATCCCACTCCTTATACTCATGATTAATGCTGCCCATTGTAGCCACGTACAAAGAAATCAGGACACATCATAGTTAATGTACAAAACAAGCTCAGAAAAGAAAATACGGTGCAAACTAAAGCATTTAAACCTGTTTGGAGTAACTTCAAACCCCACTATTCGAGCAGTATCCGTCTCAGGATCCCTGTGGTACATAACTCTAAAGCTTAAATGGTTATGTATGAAGTATTTCTCCACTTTACTCTGCAAAAATAAGTGAATGAAATGTTTGTTAGAGAACATTCTAAAAGAGCAGTAGTGAAATGGTAGAAATATGGTTTATCCAACAGACCCCTGCGTAGTTGCCCTTGAACCCAACACGAAAACCATGTTCATATGTGGTAGGCTGACTTCCATCACGCCTTTGTCTAACAACAGCAACAGGAAGGTTATCCAAAATCCTGCACCACCATTTGTCAATATTTAGAGTCTTATGGGTAAATATAGCAGACAACTCTAGAGAAGCCAATGCATGTCAACACTAAAATGAACTGAAACTCCAAAACTCACATGTTCACCCTATACTCGTCATCAATTTTTTCTTTGAAGTTCTTTGCAGCTTTAGCATCGAGTTTTACCCGACATGCCACCTGGCACGGCAGCTCTTGTAGCATATTGAACTGTTTAGTGTACAAAATATAGATCCATGTCAAAAAAGGTACACTAGAATATAGCATATGAACATACTGATTTATATCTCCATATTTAACAGGAAACAAAATGCAAGTCCTTACAGTATAAACAGAGTTCTCAATGCGGTCACCACGAAGGACCTCACCCAAGTTCTCTGCATTATTAATAATCTTGGAAGGTTTGCAGTAGTGCAGGTAGTAATAGTCATATGGAAGTTGAGTCTTTGTGGAAGACAACTTGTTCACTTTAATTGAAAGTTGATCGCCCTGTCATCAAATAGAGGTGTGATGTAAGAGGTAATGTACATGCATTAGCATAAGAAATAACATTTTCCAAGTGGCAAATTAAAAAAAATATGCATAACAACCTATAGTTTAGGGGAGACAAAAGTAACCCTATAACTCTTATGCAAGTGATATGTTCCCATTAACTAAAAGCTTCTAGGATGCTAGAGTACTCTCCATATACGTAAACTACGACTATGACTCCATGAGAAACATAAAATCATACACATATATGAACAAATTGCAAATTTACATCAAAGTATAAAATTTCAAAAAAAAAAAAGGTGTGCACACAGTCCATCCAGATCAAAGGACACCTTATCTGCACAAACTACAGAAATGTTCCCTGTTCAGTTCACTTCACCAATGAGATATAGTTAACCATCCATAGTGAAAGACCACTCCATGTACCCATAAGACCTATCATCTTGGATCTGGTCTCTCTAATTACTAAATAATATGAATATGCCCACATGAATTCACCTGATCTTAACTCACTAAGATCCACACTAACAAATTAACTATCAGAAATGGCACAGTGTTTAACAGGGATGGAATTCGCAACATTCAAAACATAAATACTTCTAATTCGTTAAATCACAGATCCGAACCGACTAACACCGAGAAAATACTAAGGGTTTCCCAACAGCGATGATCCAAACATTTCCTCAGTAATAAGAACTCCAATCAAACACAGATAAAACAACAATGTTTATAGAGTATGGGGAAAAAAATACAGAGAGCTGGGGAGGTTGAAAGCGTACTGTTTGAAAATCACGAGGAGCAACACCAGGTAGGTAGAAACAGTGCGCAGATGAAGCAAGGAAGAAGAAGAGGCATGTGATGATGGAGATCTTGTTGACCCGGTTGGATCTCCTTCGACCCATCTTCAATCCGACCCAAGATTCAGACTGTAGAGAAGATGAACACTGTCACCGAGATGGGATTTTATACTGAACGGCATAAGGGATCAGGAAAGTTGAAAACCCGATGTCCTTGTACTTCCATTAATCACGTTCCTGCCCATTCCATTTCAAATAATTGAAGAACACACCCGGTAGGAATTTTGTCATTTTGGGAGGGTAATAATTAGTTGAAGGATGAGAAACTCATTTGTACCCCCTCCATCTCCACCACACAAAAACAAGTGAGGAAAAAGAATTTAAAAAAAAAATGAAGGGTTAAGATTGATGGTGTACAAATGGGGTACCCCAAATGGTATACCCCTAGCATTCCTCTTTAAAATAAGTTGTGAACTCATTCATATTATTTCTTATTTATATTCTTATTTATTTCAGCTTTCTATCCTCTCTAATATTTCATTGGTTCCAATTTAAGTTAGTTATTTACTGTTTATAAGATTAAACTTTAACCACATTATTTACAATTTTCACTACTCATTTGATAAAATATTATAATCTTGCCATATCTTTTTTTGTAGATCTTTTGATATAATTTTTAAGTATATATAACTTTATTTTTAATTCCATAAGAAGTTTCAACTAAATTGTACTCCCTCTATCTGGAATAAAGTTTTCATTTCTCATTTTTCTCCGTCCGAAAATAAAGTTCCCATTTCTAATTTTAATCCATACTATTCCAAAAATACCTTCATCCCAAAAGTCACATTACTCTATCCCTTCGCATTTGTTCCCACGAAGTGTAGATTTTTGCTCCATCCTTCATCTGCCTCCACAAACTCTAAATTTCTGCTCCATCGAATGGATCCCATGATTTTCGTTATGAATAATGTATTTTGGAGACACGACATGGAGATGCTGGAGTTGAGAATTTGCGGGGTGATTGCACACCCTTTCGTCTCTGACGATAATGGGGAGAATGAGCTCATCATCATCGACATCGAGGATGATAGAGCCGATGTTGATGTTGGTCTTCTGGGGGGCCGTTGATCACCTTTAGGGATTCGCTACTGTGCTTGTCGTGGTATCGGGTATTGACAGCCCAACCTGACGAGGTACATGAGTCGTGTATCTTGCGAAGCCCCTCCTGTCCATCCACCGCTCAGTAGTGGGGCTCCGCACTGCCATAGTGAACTATAGAGGGTGCCCTATAGGAATCTACCTCGGCTTGGGGTTACAGAGAGATGTGGTTAAATATTAAGTGTCCACCTTCCTATCACCAATTAGTTTTAGAAAACATTTGACACCTCTTTAACTTCAGAACTCTATAGTTAAGCGTGCTGCAATAGGAGTAGTCCCAGGATGAGTGACCCACTAGAAAGTTCCAAAATTTATCCTACAGTTGACTCGGTCAAAGACAAGGAGGTAATCAACCTTATCTCTGACACAGACAATATTATTGTTCTTGGGAGCAAGGAGGCTGAGTTGTCCGTTGTAGAAGGTGATAGCGATGATAAGGAGGGGTCTGATACCGCTGGTATTGAGTCTTCTTCTGAGATCTACTCATGCATGCATCTCCACATCAATATGTTGAACATCTTACATCTCAGTCCAGACCTTAACTTTTGGGCTTTCAAGTACAAATAGGGGAGTAATTTTCACATCCTTTCACTTCACTTATATTTGTGATGATTGCTTGTTTACGCCCAATTTATGTGGTGACTGTGTTTATTCTACTTTGCATTTCCATATCGATATGCTAAACATCTTACATCTTAGTCCAGACCCTAACTTTTGGGCTTCAAAGTACAAGTAGGAGAGTAACTTTCACATCTTTTCACTTCACTTATATATGTGATGATTGCTTGTTTATGCCCAATTTATGTGGTGAATGTGTTTATTCTGCCTTTTTTTGTCTTATTTTATTTTCTTAAGTAGTTGATTAAAATATGTTTAAAAAAGACAACATGGCGTAATAGTAATGTGAAACCTTTTTTTAGATATAATCAACAGTATTTGTTTTCAACCAAACGAACAGATCCCAAATAAAATGAATATTTAACTTACAATATTTCTCTCTTTTAAATAAATTTAAATTATGTATTTTTTTATTTTTCAATACTTGTAAAAAAATTATATTCGCTTAAACGCTCACAAACACCAAATTGTGCACATATGGAGGACTATATAATATTTACCTGAATCGTGTAATTGATCAAATCCCAAGTCATGCTTCATCTATTGAAAAGAATACTTGAGACAGAGTTATAGACCTCGATTCCAAGAAAAATAGAGAAGACGAAGATCCTTCATACGAAAGTCTTTATGCATACAAGAAGTGATATTAGAGATTAAGAAGGTTAGTTGCCAATGATAATAGTTTCATCAACATAGACTAGAATAAAAAATGATCGTGTGAGTACAACAACAATTGAATAAAGTGGTGTCATAAAAGCAAGTACGAAAGCCAAGTGCATGCAAAAAAAAGAAGAAAGACGATTATGCTAGACACACATGCATGCTTGATGCCATAAAGAGATTTTTGTAATACACACAAAAAGTGCAGATGTTGTTCATCAATATGGTGAGACAGTTGTGCCATGTATATATCCTTCAAGAACTCACCATGCAGAAAAGCATTACAAACGTTGAGCTAATGTAGATAAGGGTGTTCATCTTTAGGTCCTGACAAAAAAAACTGACTGAATCGAACCGTTAGGTCCAAACCAAACCCAAACTGATTACATTTATGTCCTATTCTAGGTCTTTTTTTTTTTTAAATTTTTAGGTTTCGATTTGGTCAAGTCCACACCCAAAATGATTTCAGTCTGGACCGAAAAAAATGAAACATTAAAACATGAAATTATTTTTTTCAAGGCGTGCGACTGCGCTGTCTTCTAGTCTCCTCTTCTTTGTCCGTCCCCCTAAACTTGAAACCCAGCATCGCCCTAAATTCCTCCCGACTTATAATCAAATCCATCACTATCACTAAGTAGAACACATCCTCCAATGTCACATCGCAGTTGCATACCACAAGTATCTACAATTTAGTGTTCCTTTATTTGCAATCTAAGCTCTAAAGTCAAAGCAAAGTCTCTTACTGTCTACTCATGAATGATTTCCCTTCTTTGTTTGACTACTCTGTTCACCTTCTACCTCTGTTATCTTTTTTAGATAATGAAGGGTAATAAGAATAGAATCCTAATATTATTTTACTTCCTTATTCTTCTATTTCTATATTTCTCTTTTTACCTTATTTAGGATTTTTTACCATGTACCATAAATACTCCTTCTGAGCTCTTTATTGAATGAGATCAATATTTTATCAAATTGTATCACGGTATCGGAGCTAAGGCTCCAAACCCTAGCCCCTCTCTTCTTTGCCCGAACCTAGCCGATGGTCTCTTCCTCTCGTCATCATCGTAGATCCCTTTTTTCATCTCTTCTCTTCTTCGACAGTGGATTGTATTGCTTTCTACTACGTAATCTCCATAATCTCGTCCCTGAAAAACTCACAAATTCAAACTACCTTGCATGGTCTCTCAACGGCATGACGACCCTCGATGCTAATTTACTTCTTGGCTAGACTGATGGTCATGAAGCAGCACCATAAAAAACAATCTCCCGGGATGAAAAGGAAGACCCTAATCCTGCATACAATACATGGTTTGTGATTGACACCCAAATATGTGCATGTCTTCTTGTTGTTATAAGTCCCACTATTCACAAACATGCTTGATGCTTTACTACTTCTCCCAATCTCTGGAGTGCCCTTGCTACTCGATAAAATTCTGTAAGCCCGACCCGTATTTATCAAATTCGAGACAAACTTCACACGCTTTGCAAAGGCACAAAAACTATGACTCAATATCTTGATGAAGTTGCCACGATTCTCGCAGTTCTGGATGGTCTGAATGATGTGATTCCTGAAAGAGATGTGGTAAATGCTGTTATCCGTGGTCTTCCAGCCAAATACTCCTCTTTTAAGCAAAACATTGGCATGAACAACGAGAATATCTGTCTAAATCAGCTTTTTAGATTGCTCACCTATGAAGAAATCTGCCTTGAAATTGAAAGAAAATCGAGTCTAGCTAATTCTGCTTCTGGGAGTACCCATACAGCTCTATTTACTTCAAATGGTCGGGGATGCGGTCGAGGGGGATAAAATTTTTCGAAGTGATATTGAAAAAGAATTTGTTAATACAACTTTTGGACTTTTTCTTCAAAACTTGGGTATTCCTCATCACACATCTTGTCCATACACTCCTGAGCAGAATGGTGTTGCACAACACAATCATCGTCATCTCATTGAGACTGTCGTTTCCTTGCTCTACTACTCCCATCCGCTTGATCATTTTGGGTTGATGCTTTTGCTACTACCAACTACCTCATCAACTGTTTACCTAGACAAAAAATCCCCCTTTGAAGCACTTTACGAGTGTTCTCTAGACTACATTCACCTAAGTCCCTTTGGGTATCTTGTGTATCCATGGCTACGACCCCACACTCATCAGAAACTTCCACCACTCTCTACACCATGTGTCTTCCTCGGTTATCATCCAACAATGAAAGGTTACAAATGTTATGACCCTATCTCTTAGAAGATCTATGTTTCCCATCATGTTCGTTTTGTCAGAGTTTCCCTACTCTCACCTCCTATCTACTCCATCATCCTCCAATCATTTAGGTAACATTCTCATATATCCCTCTCGACCAAGCTCATAGGCTCAAATACTGCCCCTTTAGAACATTGTCTACTCTGGTTCTGCCATCCAGATGGTCGACCAACTCGCTTGTACCCATACACACGGTCAACCGCCCATTACTCACGTCTCTAAACCTCTACAAACGGTCCAACCACCGGACCGTTCTATTACCCACACTCGACCGTCACTAATCACCCACTTTGAACCTCTACAGATGGTCCAACCACAGACCATTTCACTCCCCCATGGCCGACCGCCACCAACTACCCTTTCTGACTCCTTACAGGAGGTCGATTTTATAAATCGTCCCCCTTTAAACGGTCAATCGTCATCTGTCTCGCCCTC